CAAACGTATCTTTAGCAACTGATGAGTGGGCACCAGAATAATCACTAATCCTGCTATGTCCACATCTTCAGTGTTCATACTAATGTTATCTGAAGGACACCAGATGTTTTTGGTTCTATATATTTAAAAAAAATCAATGAATTAGGAGTTCCTAGGGACAATTTTCTTGTTTCATTGTCCTGGAACAACAGTGATTATCTTAATAATTTAGATGAGACTTTTCTTAAGAATTTAGTATACATGGCAAAGAGAAAGAATAAATACCAGACTGGTAAAAGATGAGTTAACCCATTAGACAGTGTCAGTTTCAGGGAAAGAACATTAATTGATGCCTTCCTTACTCTTCCTGAGTTTGGAATTGATTTTGAAACAGAAGAATCACATAGGTAGAAAAAAAGTTCCAACTCCATTATTAATAAATATGTTTGTCAAATGAGACTTTAGGTGGCGGGACATGTGGTTGGCACACTCCACACCATGCCTGGCACTTAGAAACCTCTAGGTCAGTGTTCTCAGCCTATCAGTCATGACCCCTTTGGTCAAATGATGTTTTCTCAGGGGTAGCTTATCAGATATCCTGAATACCAGCTATTTACATTATGATTCATAACAGTAGCAAAATTACAGTTATGAAGTCACAACAAAAATCATTTTATGGCTGGGGGTCCCCATAACATGAGGAACTGTATCAAAGGGTCACGTATTAGGAAGGTTGAGAAGCACTGCTGTAGGTAAACACACAAGGTGATTCTTACACTGGATTGGAGAAAGTGAGGGGTAGAGTGGGAGAGAAGCCGAAGACTTCACTGAGATGAATGACTCTACCTCGGAAAACATGCCTATTTCGAGTCAGGGTTAGACTATGAAGAATGCTAAGATTCCATTGCTTATTTAAGTGATTGAGATTATCTGTCCTTGTGTGTGGGGGGGGGGACAGACATTGACATCAGGTGTCTTCCTTGATTTCTGACCACTTTATTTACTGAGGCCACGCTCTCACTAAACTTAGAACTCCCCAGTTCAGCTCATATAGCTAGTTGGCTTACCCTGAGGATCCTTCTATCTCCCTGGTGTTGGGATTACAGGGAGGCCCCCATGCCCACCCAGCTATTTCATGGGAGTGCTAGGGGTCAGAATTCTGACCCTCATGATTGTGCAGGAAGCCTGCTTTTTCTACCGAGCCAACTCTCCAGGAAGGCTATGTCTTAAGATGTTCTCAAGCCAGATGTGGTGGTACATGCCTATAATCTCATACTCGGGAGCTTGTTCAAGGATATCTTGGACTGAACCCCCCCTCTCCCTCTCTTTCACATCTCCCTTCCTCCCTTCCCTCTCTCTCACACACATTCATAGTTTTTGTTCTATCTTTCTCTGTCTGACACTCTGTTAATAACTTTTTTATTTCTGAGACAGGGTCTCACGATTTAACCCTAGCTGTCTTGGAATTTGCTAATTAGGCCAGGTTGGTCTGCCTGCCTCTTCCTCCAGAGTGCCAGGATTAAAAGTGTATGCTATTACACCCAACTATTAAGACCTTCTTGATACCCCCCCACCCCAGTTGATATAAACTTCACTAAGCTAAAAGTAACTCAAAGACCAGCTTATTCCTGAGTTTTTTTCTCTCCCAAGGTTGGCAGTAAAGAGTTGTTCTGCTACTATGCCAGCCAGCAGAGTAATCCAGGAAGCCTCAGAAGCCACATTAAGTCAAATTTTCCAGCAGGCTGCCAGTAGGTTTTATGCAGAGATGGAAGAGCACAGCAAGAAAAACCAGATTTTTTTTTTTTTGAAGATTTTTTTTATTTGAATTAGAAACGAGATTGTTTTACATGACAATCCCAGTTCCCTTCTCCCTCACGTCCTCCTCTACTACCCCACCAACTAAAACCTTACCTATCACATATCCTTTGAGCTTTTAATTTGGTCAGTAGGTCCCGTCCTAGTAAGGGGTAGGGGCAATCTGGTACATGGAGGAAAGAATGCATACCCTTCCCGGTCGCGGGCTGGAGCTGCCGATCTGTAGTCCAATGATACTGCTTTCTGCCTGTAGCCCCCTGTACCCATGCAGTCCGGTGACTCAGGGATCCGGGCGACCAATTCAGAACGGAATGTTGTGCCCTTATATCTACTAGGAAGGTGACCGGATGCCCCCCGACTTGCAGTGTTATCCTGGGCTC